GCGTTATTTCACATAAAAAAAAATGTCCGCATAAATTTGGGTCTTATGCTATTATTGAATCGTCTAATTCTTTTAATCATATTCTAATGGATCTCAGTGCTTTTCCTTGTGAATCATTGGCACTTGCTCGCTGTCCCCTTTGCTTCCTTTTCACTAGTTTATGTTTTTATGTTCAGGAAGTTATATCCGTTGAGGATGAAAAATTGAAAGATTTGATGAAAGAACTGGGTGAGGAAGTGTACAATGCTGTAACATCAGCTTTAACAGAGATCAATGAATACAACCCTAGTGGGAGGTACATAACGTCGGAATTGTGGAACTATAAGGAGGGACGAAGGGCTTCACTAAAGGAAGGTGTTACATTTATTCTGAATCAGTGGAAAACAAAGAAGCGGCGGATGGAGCTGGAATACTGAAGGTCAGTATTCGATGTTTGTAATAGCTTTTCTAACGATTTGACATAAATTTATTAGTCTAATTGATGACTGATTTGCGTATTTTCCATTTCTGTTTCTGCAGTTCCCTCTGGCCAGCTTAATGGATCATCCTCCCTAACACAGATTTGCTGAATAAGTGGTTAACCTGAAGGAGGACTCTGCCTTTAGATGTATTTGTTTTCGTTGTTCGTGAACTTTGCACTTCAAATAAAGGTCTGTATGTGGACAGTACCCAACTTATTATTCAAACTCTCAGGGAACAGAACCATTTCATCACTTCACCTCCATAAAAATTTGTTGCTGAGAGTGAACTGTCGGTATCTGACTTTGGATGTATCAGTATTTGACAATGTACAATAGTACTGCAAGCTTTTCAGTTCCTTTGTCTATCAATTGCTACCTGAATCTTGATGCTAGTCCCATGGACTTCAAGTCTTCGGGTCGAGAAAAACTAGCCTGTAATGGGGTGTATACACCTTGTTTTTCGCTCTTCTTGCGGAGAAGTGTATACACCTTACAAGACAAGGTTTTCTCCATCTGATTGTACTTGAATCAGTTTTCTTTCTTGGTTAATGACTAGCTGAAAATAGCAAAAGGGTACGAGCCGATAAAAATTTATCAGCCAGTCGTACGCATAAATTGCTAACCATGTAGTAGTCTTTGTTTTTTTTTTTTTTTTTTTTTTTTGGAGTTAACTGGAAATTCATTAACCAGGGCAAAAGCCAAAGAGTGCAGGAAAGCCACGAAGGACTAACAACCACAAACATTGAGAAAGCAAGGAGGACAAAGAAATACAAGACGCAGCTGGGCCTCGGCGAATACGTCAAATCCAACACTTTCCAAGCCACCTACAACCTCCGAGGGGGGCAAGGATGGAGGTCTTAGCAACCCACAGAGTTGCACATCCAAGACTAGGTGCACACTTGAAAAGATTTCCCCAACTCCAGGACACAGCTTAGAATAGGAAGAACTTCTCAAGGAGTTCACTCCAAGCCTGCCACCAAGGATGTGATGACCAGTTTGGAATCCGATTCCACAAAAATTTGATGGAAATTCCTCTGGCAAGCAAGAGCACAACCCTCCCAGATCGCCATAGCCTCTGCCATGAGAGCACTTGAGGCAGCGACTTCCAACCGGCACACCTCGACGCAGGGCTTGGGCATCACGAATTACCACGCCCACAAAGTTTCGATCCTCACCCATCCTCCAGCGAGCATCCACATTCACCTTAACCCCACAACTAGGAAGAAGAGACCAAGGAGGACATCGATTCAGCACTGGTGCACGCGGAGGAGGGGGCATGAAGGTGCTGCTCGTTGCCGACGAGAAACAATTAAACGCATTCCTGATAGCAGCAATGGTGATGGTGGGCGATGGCGGGCGCTGGTCGAAGACGGCCTTGCACCTGGATTTCTAAATATGCCAGCAGGAAAACACGACAAGGGAAAGAGCCCTCGATCTTTCCGTCTTACTCCCGAAGTCAACACTCCCAATCCGGAGAAGCTAAGCAGCAAAAGTAGAGATAGAGGCTCGGTCCACCCAAATACCTAGGGGACCTCCAAACCACACGGTCTCAACTCAAGGGCAAATGAGGAGAAGGTGTTCAACTGACTCATCATGCTCGCCCCAAATTGGGCAAGTGGGGGAGGAGGTGCAACGACGTCGAAAAAGATTTCGATAGGTTGCAATAACTCCTCGAGCCCTTCGCCACAAAAAGTTCCTCAGCTTGGGAAGTTCCACAAGGCCTCAAATCATCTTCCAAACTTGTGGGTCCGTTCCAACATTGGCAACACGCTACGGATGTTGACCCAACGATATCCCGATTTAACGGTATAGTTTCCATTCCTTTCCGTCCGCCAAATAAGGTGGTCCGGTCTCGCAGGGTCACCAAAAGAACCTTTGATCGCCGTTCTATCCAACGTCGAAATAACATTGGAGATTGGAGTCAAATCCCAAATCCCCGCGTCCTGATTAATGATTGAGTCAACAGTCTGATCTAAGTCCATCGAGCCATCGTCAGTGGGAATAAGATGACCTGTTGGTATATTCGGGACCCAAACATCCCTCCAAGGGCGGACCGTTGGCCACTTAGGACTTGCCAATGAGCACCCTTAAGAATAAGATCCCTTCCATCCAAAAGACTCGACCAAATTCAGGAGGAACGGCCCCCTCGCTTCGCCCCAAGGAATGAGGAATGAGGAAAGTACCAATCCTTTAGTTAGTACAAATAAAAACGGAGAACTTGTTTACTCATCAATTAATCATTCCGAGGTTCCGAGCTCATGTTCACGTTATGCATTCGAGGTCCCGAGTTTGATGTTCAATGATCATTATCTTTTGGGATTTGGATCTCATTCGGATTCAAATTGTGGAGATCTTAGAATCTTCATATCTTAACTATTAATCGTGTGGTAATAAATTATTTAACTTTTGTTGTACAATAAAGTGCAAACAAAAGTAAAATAAAAATAATAATTCAGTCAAACTGAACGCGAGAGAGAATGCTGCAAACGACGTCGCCCAACATGGGAAAATTCTTTTCTGAACGGCGCCAACTTTCCTGATGCAGAACGACGCCGTTTTCCTTTTCCGCTCTGCAAAATTAACCCTAGTGCTATATATATATTCGCGTTCTGTCTACTGAAAGCCTCAGATCTCCATCGCCTACATCTTCTGTAAAAAAATTAGGGCCGTGATTAGAAAGAGAGAGGCTTGAGCGGCGGTTCCTCCAGACAGACGCTGGAAAACCTAATTGGTCAAAAGTTTCAAGGAGATCAAAGAGAGAGCAGAACACTCGCCGCCGCTTTTCACCCGAATGGCAGGCTTTTGGCGTCTCTGCCGAAACTTTTGCGCTCCTCGACTCTTTGTACCCGATTGGGTTCGACCCGCAATGACAGTCCATCCAATTCTATACACTTGATATGAGCCCCCCTGCACCAGCCTCCTTTTTTCGGTACAGAGGGATTTTTAATTTTTAATTTTTAATTTTAGGGTTTTTTGTGTGTGTGATTTGAGGGTTTTGGGAATATATGGCACTTGTTGGGTTTTTCAGAGGAAGCGATTTTGATTTGCTTTCTCGCGGAGACCAATGGTGCTTACAGTGAAGGCCCGATTCGCACCGTTTCGGTGGGAGTCGGGCAGCGGCCAGACAACCGTAGTGATGGTATCCACAGATGGCGGGTTCTCCCTGTCCCGTTTTTCTACTAAATTCCATCTCACATTTTCTTATATTTCAATTAATTTTTCCAAATTTTGTTTTTTTTTTTTATTGAAAATTGAAATATAATTATCTAATTAAGGGTTCTATATTAGGTTGTATCATTGGTTGATTTTTGAGTTTTGGATTGGACATGATGATTAAAGACCTGGACTGCTTGAACATGATGATTAATAACCCTAAACCCTGTTTTATTAAACAAATCATAAATCCTAAACAATAATAAATCTGAAACAAAGGAGAACAATTCCCCCAAGAGATAGAAGGACTTGCATGAAACGAGGATTCAAGGACTTGAAAATAATTATTAAGGATAAATCGTGGATGATAAGAGGGAGAAAAACTTGCATGAAACGGGCGGGATTAGGGTGTGGAAAAGTGAGAAAATTGTGCTGAAAATTTCAGCTGGCTTAAAACCCAAGACAATGAACAATTGATCTGGAACTGAAGTAAGAACTGACTATTTGGTTCAATTCAATCTGTTGCTTTGGGACGGAAAAGGATCCTGGCCGGATCCTTTTTCTAAAGATCCCGTGATCGTTCTCGTTCATCGTATATCGTGCGGTCAGAAATTATTTCAAAATTTAAAATTTAAAATTAAATATAAATAGTATTTAACGAAAACTGATTGCACGATGTACAATGAACGGTCACGATATACTGCTCATCTCCGTTCATCTAAGTTCCTCTCCAAAACTTTAGAAAGTTGCAATCAACTGAATTATCTAAGTTCCTCTCCAAAACTTGAGAAAGTTGCAATCAACTGAATTAAAAAAATTACCAAGTTATATGACTATAGAACCTAGTCCAACCTGATGTGGAACCAACTTAAACCTCATTTAGACTTCAACACAACGAATCCAACAATAGTAGAGCATGTAGAAAAGTAGTCAACAGTTTTCAGTTTAGTGGTGTGTGAAAGAAAGAAACTTGGCTTAGACTGCTTGACCACGTAGCATGTCCGACAATCAAATATCGACATATCATGGATATTACTGATAGCATTGATACCTCGATATTGTGTCAATATATTTGTCAAGATAAATCGATATGAAATTAAGTGACGATGTAATGACATTTTATTAAATGGTCGAACAAGACACGTGATCAGTTATTTTGACCTAAAATCTCCTCGAGTGAAATGTGAAACAAACACGAATCGGGCAAAATGTTTATTCTTATTCCGCCGCTGGTGGCAGACATCCCTTCAAAGTCTATGATTGCCGGTAAAACAACACCCCAAATGCAAAGTTGCAATTTGCAGAGCATCGCACCGAAAAGCACAAAACGCAGAACAAAATCAAAAGCAAAAAACAGAAAACAGAAAAATACTTGATCGTGTCTAATGGTCTATAAAATTAAAGTATATTAATTATAATCATGATCAGATAACCAAAGCAGCGGGCTACACGACCTTTACCGCCACCTCAGCTGCTTACAACTTTCACTTTCTGGCTTTGAGCTTTTTTCACTCCTCCACCGACCAGCAGTAAAAAAAAAAGTTTTAACTTTAACCCCACCCTCAAAGCATACTTTTACTTTCTCACTCTCTTTTGAAACCAGATGTATTAAAAAGCGGGAAATTTGAATAATTAGACCCTGAAGTTCTTGCCGGTGAAGGTTTGGCCGAACTGCCAGTTGGAAGGGACGATGTTCCAGGAGGTGGAGGTGCGTCGGTCACTGCCTGTCACCCTGAAGGAGAGTGACTGTCCAACCAGGACTGAGTTTGACTGCCAGTTCTGACCCCAGTTGCGGCTCAGGCTCATCCACGGAGTGTTCGTCCCTTTAACGTACGCCTTCACTATATCCCCTGCGCCCGCGACGTTGTGGATCAGAACCAAGTTGAAGTACTTGTGACCGTTGATTGTGAACCTGATTCCACCTTGCTTCCGGCATGGCACTCTGCGTAAAAAAGGGCATTTTAGTCAATTGTCTATTTACAAACGAAGAGATGTCATTCACAACTTTACAAAAAAGAGGAAAAATTAAACAATGCCCCCTACAATTAAAACCTTCATTTTTACTAATTTACCCTCACGATCTTTGCTTTAGTTCAAACTCTCATAATCTTTTAATAAACTTAAATTTGTCAATATTGACTAATAACGGATTGTTTTTATCATTCAAATAAGAAAAACTAACAAAAAATGTGATCAAAATTTGATTCTAACTTGTCCATTCGACTTTCAATTTGATTATTAGACGTTAAACTTATCACATTAACTTTTAGGTTTCCGTATTTGAAAGGACAAAAATAGTCTTAATTTGACAGAAAATTTGAGAAATTTTAATCGTCGTGTTTTAAAACATTAAAAGGCTTAGAACCAAATTAAAAGTCGAGAACAAAATTCAAGAAGCATTGCTAATGTATTTTCGAACAAAAGAAAAATAGAGAGAAACAGAGAGAGCGAGCTCACCGGCGGTAAGAAACGGGGACAATGCCGGCGCGGTACTCAGCGATCTTGAGGAACATGGGCATGGCGAGATCGAAGTGGGTGCGAGGCGGGTTGCACCAGCCGCCATTGTCGCTGGGCTGGGCGAAGTTTGGCGGGCAAAAGTTTGTGGCCGTGACAAAAATGGAGGGACTGCCAGATTTGCACCACTGTGGCTGATTTGCGCACTTGAGTTCGAAGCAAGCTCCACAGCTCAAGCCGTTGTTAAAGAGAGCCGTGCTCAGCGCAGCCGTGTTCACTCCGTAGCCCTGGCTGTACAGATTTCCGTACCCACAAGCTCCTCCTATATACACACAAAAGCAATCAAAATGAGTGGACTAAATTCAAATATTGTTAAACAAATTGGGAAATTTTGATGTGGGTCTTTGAAATTGGGGGTGTAAATCCAAAAGGAATGAACTTTATGGTATGTTATGCTTAGAAAAATGCATGGGGTCATGAAATGTTTTGGGCTTACCCATAGTTCCAGAGGCATCACTGCCGCCATAGAAAGTAGCATGGGCATCCTGCCACGCGGCGCCAGTGTAAACACCAGGAATTCTGGCGTCGACTACAATGGTACTCGCCAGTGCCATGAGAGAAACAATGCAGAGCAGAGGAGCCATGGCGGCCATTGTTTTCTAGAGAGAGAGAGAGAGAGAGAGAGAAGTGGGGGTTTTCGGCTGTGGAGGGTTTGGGTGTGAGGAGAAAGCAGAGGGGGGTGGGGTGGTATTTATGAACAAAGTTGAAGAGAAACAACTGTCCAAAAGTGACCAAAATTATCACCTTAATTAATGCGGCTTTGGTCTCCCCCGGGCGGTAATTGCGTTCAACTCCTTTTTTATTCTCAACAGACGGAAATGCCTTTGGGTTGATTCATTTGGGGCTTTTAGCTTAAATGGTTGACGGTGAACAATCACAAAACTATTTCTATTGATTTTAAATCTTAGAAACCCAAGTGACGAGTTACGCCAATTTCAGAGACCATTTTGAATAAAAAATAAAAACTTCATTTTAACAAGTTTTATAGTGAGGATTGTACTTCGCACATTATGATCTTGGTGCATTTAAGGAGATAGGAGTTTGGTTTGCTTCAATTGCTCTGAGTGGAAAAAGAATATGCTGCTTGAAAGAAATTAAACTTTATTGTCTGAATTTGTTCGTCTCATGTTAACTTATCATCAAATTGTTCTGTTCCGTCAATAAAATTATCTTGATCTTTCTTTAAAGAGAACATTAGAAAAGAAAGATGGGGGGTTTTGTGTAAAAAGGGCGGGTGGTAAATGTAGGGTCAACAAGGTCGGGGCTCAAGGGAGTTGTGATGATATTGGATGAAACCGGTTTGCTTGGTTTGCAAGTTGTGGCATCAACTGCGCCCTCTCTCTCTTTGGCCACAAGGGAAGGATTTTCTTTCTTTTTGTTCCCTCCTTTTTGCCTTTTGACTTTCTAGATAGTGGGTGCATTGTGGACTGTATAGTGAATAGGAGGGAAGACTTTGTACGGATACAATGTTTTTCACTTGAAATTTTATTTTTTTAAAATTACGCTGCAGAGTTCGATTGATATGTATTGTGCCTTGAGCAGGTGTGGTTTTAGTGTTGAATTAAGGGTTTCTCTATGTGTTGATTTGCTCACGGTTCTCTCCTTATCATTTAAATTTTGCGTACTTATTTATTACTATTGCCAAGTTTGCTTCTCAAATCGATGTCTCTTGCAATTAGAGTGGAGCATGTTTATTCATATTGTATTGATTGAGCATTGTAATTCTTTTGTAACTCATATAAAATGATTTCTTTGGAAAATAACATAAGGTTGCCAATAGTGCGAACCTTGCATTTAATGAATATAATATAATATGAAATTCGGCTCAATACAATTAATTAGCGGTGAGCATTACTTGTCACATTATGAAAAAAATACATTAAATCACTCTACAGATTTGAAATGTACAATGATAATCTCACAACATAACACGTCGGTAAAATCTCATATTATAACACGTCGGTATACGTTTGTATTGTCAAAAGTAAAATCAACTAATCAAGAGTGAATCTAGGGATTGGTGGGGAAAATAGCTTCCCACTTTCCTAAAAGAGGAAATGAGATTCCAATAGGCACAGACCTTTGACGCAGCTACAATTTATCCACAAATTGTCTTCTTTTTTTTTCAATTTTCAAAGGGTGCGGATTGGGTTTTATCCTTCAACGGGGCCCAATCATTTCCGCATTCGTCGGTGCTAGTATTACGCCGTGCATCTGTCGTACAACTGCGTACACAGCACATGGGTACGGTGGACCTACGCTTCGCCTACGTCACTCTGGCTTCCAGCTTTTAGTTGGGTCAAATACTCAGTATTTGCTTTGCGACACCTACTGTAATCCAATATATATATACACACACACATATATATAGGGTTTAGGGTCTAGTGTGTATATATATAAATTTATGTATATACAAATGCATGTTTAAATATATAGAATTTTAACGAAAAATTTCTAGTATTGTTCATTTTAACAAAAAACTATAATTTTACATTAAAAAGTCAATCATGGACCTGATACTATTCACTTTACTTTTTATTTTATCCTTATCGTTAAAACTCAAAAATTTTAAATCATTTTCATTAATTTTCCTTTAAATATATTTATATATTTAAATATATATACACACACACACACAAATGCATGTTTAAATATATATATATATATATATATATATATATATATATTTTGGACAATATTATTGATAATTAAGTCCTTGTATATACCTAATCTTATTGAGAACGCCATTATTAAGGATACTTGGTGGCATGTTTATGTCACATCCCTGCCCAGGCCCTTACCACATCCCAAACTCAACTCCACCATAACACGATATTATCCGTTTTGGGCCCCGACCACGCCTTCGTTATTTTTGGGAACTCACACGAGAACTTTCCAGTAGGTCACCCATCCTGGGATTACTCTCGAGCGAACTCGCTTAACTTCAGAGTTCCGATGAACTCCGAAGCCAGTGAGCTCCCAAAAGGCCTTGTGCTAGGTACATATGGGAATATACATATAAGGCTTACAGGATCCACTCCCTTAGGCGATGTGGGATATTACAATCCACCCCCCTTAGGGGCCCGACGTCCTCATCAGCACACTTCCGGCCAGGGATTGGCTTTGATACCAAATTGTCACATCCCCGCCCGGGCCCCCACCACATTCCAGGCTCAACTCTACTGTAGCACGATATTGTACGCTTTGGGCCTCAACCATGCCCTTACGGTTTTGTTTCTAGGAACTCAAGTGAGCAGAACTTCTTAGTGGGTCACCCATTTTGGGATTGCTCTTGCGCGAACTAGCTTAACTTTAGAGTTTCGATGAACTCCGAAGCCAATGAGCTCCCATAAGGCCTCGTGCTAGGTACAGATGGAATATACATATAAGGCTTACATGATCCACTCCCCTGGGCGATGTGGGATGTTACAATCCACCCCCCTTAGGGGCTCAACGTCCTCGTCGGCACACTTCCAGCCAGGGATTGGCTTTTATACCAAATTGTCACATCCCAGCCGGTGCCCTTATCACATCCCGGGCTCAACTCCACCGTAGCACGATAATGTCTGCTTTGGACCTCAACCACGCTCTTACGGTTTTGTTTCTATGAACTTAAGCGAGCAAAACTTCTTAGTGGGTCACCCATTTTGGGATTGCTCTCGCACGAACTCGCTTAACTTTAGAGTTCCGATGAACTTCGAAGCCAATGAGCTCCCACAAGGCCTCATGCTAGGTACATATGAGAATATACATATAAAACTTACAGGATCCACTCCCCTGGGCGATGTGGGATGTTACAATCCACCCCCCTTAGGGGCTCGACGTCCTCGTCGGCACACTTCCGGCCAGGGATTGGCTCTTATACCAAATTGTCACATCCCAGCCGGCGCCCTTATCACATCCCGGGCTCAACTCCACCGTAGCACAATAATGTCCGCTTTGGACCTCAACCACGCCCTCATGGTTTTGTTTCTTGGAACTCATACGAGAACTTCCCAGTGGGTCACCCATCATGGGATTGCTCTCGCGTGAACTCGCTTAACTTCAGAGTTCCGATAAACTCCGAAGTCAGTGAGCTCCCAAAAGGCCTTGTGCTAGGTAGAGATGGGAATATACATATAAGGCTTACAGGATCCACTCCTCTGGACGATGTGAGATGTTACATTTACGTCTTGTTTTCCATTTTTTTTTAATTGATTCATAATGGAAGAGTGATTTTTGCACATAATTTTTCACTTTCTGCATGTTCAGGTTAATTTTTACCCTCCATTCATTTATGATTTGTTTAATCCCATAGTTATAAAAAGATATATATATATATATATATATATATGTATGTGTGTGTGTGCGCGCGCGTGTGTGTGAAAAAGAGTGCAGAAAACATTACTGTCGAAGCTCCCTAAGAAACTCTCTTGTACCATCACCATAAGTTCTATGTATTACACATTATAATCCCAAAATAAAAGAAGAAAAAAGTCACTTGGTATGAATGCTCTACTTCACTGATACAAGAAGAAATAAGATAGGAAATTTTTTTATTTGTATCATTGAATTTGATCTTGCATTTGATTGCATATATAGAATTATTGACAGTATGAATCTCATATTGGAGAAGAGAAATATTCCTAATAGTTTAATAATCATGGGCCTCTCTCTTTTATTTCAATTAGTTTACAATAAGAGAACTGCTCAGGAGACTCTCAAAGTCAGACTCTCCATGAATTCTCTGTCACTTACAATTTAATGTCAATTTTCGTGCCAACATTATAAAATGTTGTGCCAAAAACATAAGGTGCCAGAAAATCCTTGGATAGCCTCACTTTTGAGAGAGTCTTCTTAACATTTATTCACGCGTTAGATCCAATAATTCACGTACTTTCACGTCACTTGATATATGTTGTCACGTATGGTCGCATTCTATTAGAAACTCAAGATCTAACATCGCACAATCATGAATTGCAAGAGGGAGGACAAAAGAGAGGGTGGCATTTCTATTCGACAACACATAGCTTTTTACTAAAGAAAGTGGGCACAGAAAAGCCACAAAAACGGTTAGGAAGGTAATGCTTTGCTGCCTTTTTGGATCAAGGATGTCGATTTGGGTTGACAGAAAGAGATTATTTCGTACCCATCAACAAAATCTAAGAGAGATATTCACCACGTCATCGCATCTCGTAAGATCATTTAGCTGTGTTGTTCAACAACACATCACCAAACCCCTTCGATCGCCCAGTCACCCTGTGTTGGATTCAGTCCCATGAAAACACCATCTCAATGCATGTGAATATTTTCCACGACTAAAAGTCTTGTTTAATTATTTTCTAGGTCTTTCGTTTGTGTGTTTTACGTGTTGTGTATTGTAGAGAGAGAGAGAGAGAGAGAGAGAGAGAGAGAGAGACTTAAATTTTACTTTCAGCGTGGCTTGGTAGATAGAACATATGACATAATTATTGATCTCCTTTGAAGCTGGGAAGGATGTTGATGTTGTTGTTTACTTTGTCTGTGATTCTGTTAACTGTGACACTTATTAGTTTCATCACCCATACGTACTTTATACGTAGTAGTAGTTGATATGTAACCGGGTGCATGTCTTGTTGTGTGTGAGTGTGTTATGCAGTTATGCAATTAGATATGCGAGTTTTATGAGATTCACTCGTCTTACTGTATACAG